ATCAAACCCGCACACAACCTTTTCTTAAGGTGTATTCTAATAGCCCGTGCTTTAATGGTCCTGCACGTGTATCTCAGTTTAATGAAGACTCTAGGAATTCTGCCTCGAAATTCCATAGGAACCGGCCTAAATTCCACAATCACATAAGTGAGTCTATCAAGAGTACTCATGTAGCCTAGGTACTCCCTCATACAGAGTATAGATCTCATTAAGAGTTTCTATTATATCATCCTCTTATTACTTCAGGATTCATGCTTTACTTGCATGATCATCTCATATTACTCACAACTTGTTATTACCCATTGAACCTATTTCTTGAGATCTCCAGTCATTTAGGTCGGGTTACCATCATGAGTAACTCATTTTCCTATAGGCATTAGTCTTATCTTATATGATATATTATAGACTTTCTCTCTAGCTAATTCTTTCGTCAAAGGATCTGCTAAATTTTCATCAATGCGTACATGATCCACTCTTACAGCTCCTTTAGAGATACAATCTCTAACAATGTCGTGCTTTCTTCTTATTTGACGTCTTTTACCATTATAATAGCGGTTCTCAATTTTTGCAATAGCCGCGGTACTATCGCAATGGATCAACACAACTGGCATATGTTTTTCCCATAAGAGAATCTCAGTTAGCAAGCATCTTAACCAACTTGCTTCTTCACTAGCAGCCGCTAATGCTATATTCTCAGAATAGTATGTTTCTTTGATTTCCAAGATACAACTCCTCTAGCTATGTTGAATACATAGCCACTAGTTGCTTTGGAATCATTTGATAAGGTATTCCAATCTGCATCATTGTATCCTTCAAGTACAATACGAAATTTTTGATAATATAAACTGAGATTCATGGTCCTTTTAAGGTACCGTGTGACTCGCTCAATAGCTTGCCAATGTTCATTACTCGGTCTACTAGTAAACTCGCACAACAATCTCACGACATATGCAATGTCAAGTTTAGTACAATCAATGGAATACCTAAGACTTCCAATGATGCTCGCATGTTCTGTTTGTCTAACACTTTCACCAGTGTTCTTAAACAACTTCACGCTTGGATCATTTGATGTGCTCACAAGTTTACTGTCAAAGTAATTATATTTCTTTAAGATCATTTTCACATATTGTGATTGATCCAAAAATATTCCTTGCTCGGATCTTGTGATCTTGATACCAAGAATCACACTCACTTCTCCGAGATCTTTCATATCAAAATTGTTGCACAACAATGATTTCATATCATTAATGGCCTAAGTGTTTGATCCAAATATGAGTAGATCGTCTACATATAGACATATGATATTGCAAATACAATTCTCAAATTTGTAATAAACGTATTTGTCACTTCCATTCACTTTGTACACATTCGATATCATTAAGTTATCAAACTTTACATCCCATTGCTTTGGAGCTTGTTTTAGCCCACACAAAGACTTATCTAACTTACAGACCTTGTTTTCTTATCCATAGATCATAAACCCTTCCGGTTGTTTCATATAGATTTCTTCTAAGTCACCGTTTAAAAAAGTTATTTTAACATCCATTTGGTGTACTATTAAGTTATAAATAGCAGCTATTGAAATAAGCACCCTAATAGATGTAATTCTAGTGACAGGAGAAAAGGTGTCGAAGAAATCTATATTTTCTCTTTGTCTAAAACCCTTGGCAACAAGGCGAACCTTGTATTTATCAATAGTTCCATCAGGTTTTAGTTTCTTTTTCAAAACCCATTTACAACCGAATGGTTTGCAACCATGAGGCAAGTCTACTAAGTGTCAGGTCTTGTTTGATTCTAGAGATTCTATCTCATTATTGATAGCTTCTTGCCATAAATAAACATCCAAAGATGACAAAGCTTCTTGAAGATTCATTGGATATTCTTCTACATTATAAGCCACATATTCAGGCCTATAGTCTTTAGCAACTCTTACTCGTTTACTTCGTCAAAGTTCTGTTTTTATATTGTCGTTGCTTTATGTGCTTCTTATCACATGAATATGACTCGATTGTGTACCCCCACTATTTCTCAATTTGAAAGGAAATTTGTCTTCGTAGAATTCAACATCAGTTGATTCTATGATCACTTTTGTCTTTAGGTCATAAAACCTATATGCTTTACTGTTTGCTGCATACCGGATGAAAACACATTCATATGCTCTACTAGCGAGTTTAACTCGTTTCGGATTCGGAATTCTGACTTAAGTCAGACAACCCCAAGTTCTCAAATAAGACAAATTTGGTTGTCTTTTCTTTAATATCTCATAAGGAGAGATCTTACATTTTGACTTGGGGACTCTATTCAAGACATAGTAAACAGTCAATAAAATTTCCTCCACCAGTGAGGTACAACACTAGAACTCATCATAATTGCAACAACAAGTTCAGTAAGAGTTCTATTCTTTCTTTCTGTTTTACCATTCATTGCAAGATAGTATGGTGCAGTCGTTTCATGTACAATTCCATGTATAAAATTCATTAATAAACTAGAATCGTACAGTTTATCTATCACTACAAATTCTTATTATATCATTTTCAAATTCTTTAAAAATTTAAACATATAAACTTCATTCTTCGTAATGGCGTACAAATCTACCCCAATAGACTGACTAAACCATGTCTTATTTAAAAGAAAACCAGAAACAATATTCTTTCTAATCTTAGGAACATGCATAACGTTCCTTAAGATTAAAGTCTTTTTGAAGGTGAAATTTAGCTCTATGTCTACAATTCCAGTAACATTCGTGATCTGGTCATCTCCCAACAACACTTTCTTATCTTTAGTATTCGTGTATGTTTAAACATAACACGATCATAATAGACACAACGAGAGACGCAAGTGTCTAACCACCAATCAACATATCCATCAACCATGTTGATTTCAATGGCCATAGCAATAAATTGCCCATTAGTCAGGTTGACCTGTGCATTAGGGACAACACCAAGTTCAAGCTTACTTCTACATTTCTTAGTCATATGACTTGATTTTCCATAATTAAAACAAAGGGAAACCCGACGCCATTTCTTTTAGGTGGTGGTTGTTGCCTAGTTGGAGCTATTGGGATCATAGAAGGATTCTCATTCTTTATTCGGTTCACAATATTGCAGTTCTGATTCTTTAATCATTTGTCAAATGACTTCAGAACTATACCGAATTTCTTTTTGTTGTTTGAAACAACCAAGACTTTTTATTTTTGATATTGTCTCTAAGATTGTCTTTTTATTTTTTAAACATTCAAACTATGGGGTAGTTTGTCAATAATAAAACCAATTTTAAATTGATCATTTAAACACATACCTTTTGTGATGATCTTTTAAGCAATCTTTTGAAGTTCGTAACATTGAGTCTTCATCGACTTTACATCTTTGCATTTGATACTTGAAGTAGCGGCTAACAACATACTTCTTTGCTCCAGCTTCTACGTCATACTTCTTTTTCTGAGCCTCTCAATCTTGTTTTGCAGTATCACATCAACTCTAATTATCATACAGATCATCTACGAGTCTATTCAAAATATGATTTTGTAGAGATTTTCATTCTCTTTCTATAAGGTGATTTCTTTACTATGTTGTAAATCATTCGCTTTAATCTGTGCAGCAGACTCAACATTAACACTATTAAGTGTTTCTTCTAAATCTCCAGATTTACTACCGTTCGTTTGTTCTAGAAGGAGCAATAGAATGTCATCGATCAGAACGTTAGCAACTTTTTTCAATGTTAAGAACTTCATCTTTTGTTGCCAACATTTAAAGTGACTTCTCTCAAACATGAACGATTTCTCAAAGACAATATCCGCAAAAGAACCAATAATTTCTTCGATAACCATGGCAGTGTGAAACGTCTTAAAATTGTTGTTTTCGGATTTTAAAATATTTGCCACTGAAGAAATTACCAGGTTGAGTCGCGGACTAGGTCCCTCTCTTTAAGACGTTTCACGACACTGCTCAAAATTATGCAAAGTAGTCGAACTACTGCGCTGCCTCCAGGATAAAACAGCCAAGTTCTATACTATACGATTACTACTTGCATGATAGATAATCGGTCTAGAAATACACTCTCTGATGGTACAAGACCATTCAAATATGGTATCATCACCATTTGTAGTATCTGGTACAAAGACCAGTCATAATAATTTCTCAAACAAAAAGAAACTCAAATAATTCTCCAAAGAGAAATTAATAATGGTCATTTGACCACTCATAATAATTTCTCCAACAAAGAGAAATTCAAATAATTCTCCAAAGAGAATCGAAAAGATTAAACTTGAAAATTTCACAACTCAAATGAGGAGAAATTAACATAATTCTCTAAAGAGAATTCAAAAAAATACTCGAAAAATTCAACGAGGAGGAAGAAAGAGGAAGAAGACGACGCTTCGACAATTCGAGAGGAAAATACTCGGAAAATTCAACGAGTAGGAAGAAAGGGGAAAAAGATGGCGCTTCGATAATTCGAGAGACGCAGAGTTATGAGAGTCAGGAAGGAAAAACTAATAGAATAATTTTTGATGTAATTTGGAATGAAACATGTGCACTCCTTATATAGTGAAATAAGATAGTTAATATTTATCACATGAGCAATGTGGGACTAAATGGTTTTTTCAACCAAAAAAATATTCTAACAATGTGGGACTTGAGAAATTTTTAAATTCAACATATTGAAACGTGGACATGTTCCAACAGAAGTAAATGTAAATCTAACACTTCATAAATGGTGACATTTTGTATAAGTGTTGTTTGTATGGCAAGCAACACCAACCCAAACAATAGAACTCACTAGTCACTCTACCATGGTCTATGAAGTCATACTAAAAACAGAGAAGTTAGATTATGATATTTGAAGAAAATTTAGTGGCCTGGTTAAATTACTTTTTCATCTACATCTATAAATTATAGAAAATAAATCACACATTGGAACAGATTCCTATAAACCATACATCCCATAAACCAATTAAATAATCAATTAGAAGAATACAACCTCGGCGTGTAAGCGTGTCATCTTTATGCATGAGTTGCCGAGGGTCTGAAACAATCAATATTGCATAATCCAACCGATCTCACCATCCCCCCAAAACTGCAGAGCCACAATACATAAAAATAGTTAGAAACAAAACAAGTGTAAATAAATAACATTAGCACATTCAGATGCAGTTTTGCAACTTACCGGTCAATGCTATTTCTAGCTTTCTCAGGAATCTCTGCTCCATTATTTACTTTGTCGGTGCGGTCTACACTCTTTCTTGATTTATCTCTTTTATCCACTCCAGATCTTGATTTTTCTTTAAGGTCCGTGCTTATTCTAGACTTTTCTTTGAATTCAATACTTCGTCTAGAGGTCTCCCTTAGATCCATGCTAGTTCTAGGTTTCTCTCTGAAATCTTTGCTGTCCCGAGGTATGTCTAGTTGTTCAGGAGCTGGTCCAGGTTCGGTTCTTTGACGTGAGGATTTCTCAATAGCTGCGATAAATTTCTTTAGGTGCTTTATATATTGAGGGTAATGTTCTAGGTCACAATGATTTCCTCCTTTAACCCATAACGGTTCGTACTTTTCTTTACAATGTTCCCAAAGTTGCTTCCCGTGGGAGCAATCTACTACATCATCAGCTGTTCCCTAAAGACAAGAACCAATACAAAGATCAATCTTACAAAATCGACATTGTAAACAAGACAATTAATTGCATTATTCTATTAGTTTAGGCGATTAACAAGAAAATTGACCAGTGTAAGAAGTATTCTATTAGCATAATGCAATCATAAAGTTTAAGTGAATGAATGTATCGCCAGTGATGTAATGAAGTAAGAAATGAAAACCTATTGTTGCAAGCATAAGATGTGTGTATGTTAGCCACCGTTCATAACCTATCACTAGGTGCATTTCAGCACAACATGCAAGGGAAGCATGGAGCGGGTGGGGGTAAATTGGGGGCGGGGCAGGTTTGGGAATGTAATGTAACAGCGTGTGTCCGGCAGGTGGAGGAGAAACCAAACTCTGCTAGTGAAATGGACGGAGGAGGGAGGAAGGAGAGGCTAACCAAAGTTAAGAGTACTAATCTTCTGGTGTTCAATTTTAATGAAGAAGAAACTGAAGAACAGAGACTAACTTCACCTCTGCCTAATACAGCCAGCACCATCTCCAAGCATGAAACGAGCTATCTGAGGAGAAGGAGGAGGAGACAGAGAAACCCAAATCTTCATAGCACAATTCATGTTATCCCCAAATTTAGCAACCAATCAGCACATGCAGTCCCTTCTCTCAAGGTGTGAGTGAAAGTGAGTGACCAATCAAGACTCGTAAACCTCCAAATTTGACCCAAAACAATAGCATACGGTACTAGGTTAGATTTCATCAATTAAAATGGTGCTTCAAATTCAACTTTCTTATCAAGAGAACACTTTGGAAAACTTGACATAGTGCTTGAAAAATACGTAGAGAAAGTTCAATGGGATCCAATCCACAACAATAATCAAGAATTTGTTAGGAGTCCAAATGAGAATATGAAATAGACAATTATCTAATTGGTTGCACAAGCCACTTTATGTGTGAAGTGATGCCATTAAAATATAGAAAAGAGGGAAATGATGTGATATGGTAGAGAGTAAAGAGTGAGCAAATTGTATGATCTATTATAGTATAAGAGGATGGAAGAGAGAGATGGGCATAGTGAGAATCATCTTCAACTCTAAGGAGCTATTCTCTGGGATTATATGGGATATCTTCGTAATACTTCTTGCTTTTTACACTAACAGAATTTCTGTATTTTCAGTAATTTGAGTTTCTATCGGAATTTCTCAACAACTGAGAGTAAGATTTTGCAATCAAAATGGCTCCAAATACTACAATGTATCAAATTGTGCATAACAGAATTCTGAATATAGAATATTCTGTTTTCATTGATTCTCAATTAAGATGATTATGGCTTTATATAGAGAAGCTATCCTATCATGTAAACATGTGCAGGTTAGCTGTAACTTTCCAGTCCTGTGTGCATGTGTGGGTTGGCTGTAACTACTTCTAATTGTACTACAAACTATTCTAGAATGATGAGGCTATGTATAGAAAACAAATGGTACAAATACTTTATTACTTAAGCCATTGCATGAGTACTCGAAATTATTAGTCCATTCAATACTTGTTAGAAATAAATATACTCACATGAATTACCAGAACTGGACAATTGACCAAAGGAATTTTATCGATGTTCTGCAAAGAAAGCAAGCAAAAATCATTAAAACTATGTAATATGTGATATGGCCTCAAAAAAACATAGATCCAAATTGAACATCAAAATTCACCAGTATAGAACTACTAGAGATAAAACCTTATAAATGTCGAACCAGTAAGTCCTCTTCACAGGATACATTACTCGAAGGCCAGATAGGATGGGACTATGGAGAATGACAGCTCGAAGATTGGGTAAACGGGAAGCTAAATCTGTAGTAGGACCACTACCAACAGATTGTCCATACAGAATAATATCTTCTTCTTTGGCTCCATACATTTCTACCAAACATTTATAAGCAGCTTCTATATCTGCATAAGTGTTCTGTTCACTAGGCTGTCAAAAAAGTTGCACACTGTTATCGACTTAAACAAGATCTAAACATTGTTTTTGGATAATGAATTTTATTTGGTGCATGTAAAATGAGAGTAAAATATTTCTACAAGGTTAACAACAACAACCAAGCATTATCCTACTAAGTGGAGTCGGCTACATGGATCAACTTCCACCATAATGTTCTATCCATAATCATGCTTTTGTCCAAATCATTAATCTCGAGATCATTCTTAATAACTTCTCTTATAGTTCTTCTAGATCTTCCTCTACCTCTATCGATTTTACTCTTCTCCATCTAATCTACTCTCCTTACCACAAAACCTACAATTTTTTCTAGATCTTCCGCTACCTGTAATTGTTTGACTCCTCTCCATCTGATTTATTCTCCTTACCACAAAATCACAAGTCTTCTCTCTACATGCTCAAACCACCTAAGTCTATTTTTCACCATCAAAAAAAAAAAAATATTAGAGTTGTCCAGTGACTCATAACTATCTTATCCTCCTAAAAAACTACTATCTTGTCTAAAATTGGAACATTACTTCCTTTAAGATGTCAATAACAAAACAGTGAAATGTAAGATCCAGATTCCCCACATTGCCAAATTACCAAATAAACACATTACTTGATCTCGTTCATTCTTTTTTAAAAAGTTGATTTATAAAATCAACAATTTGTTTACATTAATACATAAATAAAAAAGAAATTTTTCGCCAAAATTGAAAACCTTAGACTAACAGTTTACACTCATTTAACTCAGCTATCACAAAATCGTTGAACTATCTCACCCACCAACTTGATCTCGGTCATTGATTGAGACTGATATGCTCAAATTACAATTCCACTAAATCTTCTTTAAACAATCTATACTTATGATTTGAGATCTATCTTACACTTTGTACATAGTAATCAAAATGCGTCTTATCTTAAAACTCATCTTAAAACTCAAAAAGGAAACTATTTAACAAACATTCGAAAGGTCCATTACATACAAATCACTATCCAATATTGTAAATTTTTCCAATTGAAGTTAAATCAAAATCACACTTTACAACCAAATACAAATAAGAAAACCGTCTTACACACCTTCCCAGAAGATTGACCATACCCAGAATAGTCATAACTACAAAAAAAAAAAAAATCAACATAAAAAAAAATTCAGAAATTAACCTAATAATAACAACAATAATAATAATATATAGTTATAATAATAACAAAAAAAAAAAGCAACAATTTTAGTTGAACTTTAAAAACTTAGTTTTTTCCAAAAAGGAAAAAACTTAAATTTAATAATTTACTATAAAAACACATAGCATTAATTCAAACAAAACTAACAATAATAGCAACACTCCACAAAAGGAAGGCACGTGACAGGCACGTGGTAAAGTAACATACCACAAGAGGTTGACTCGGAGGTGAATACTGAGTTCACTGAACAACTCGTACATCTGACCCAGATCAGCGGCGTTTCCATGAGAATACAGAACCGTAAGTGAAGCTGAAGTGTTCTTTATATACAAAGCAACGATGCTATTCGCTCTTTTGGTACAAAGCTTCAAAACGTCAACGTTTTCTCTGGTGGAAACTCCGGTGATCTTGTTTTTTCCGGTAGCTTCGTCGACTCCGATGCCGTACGACGGTGGATTCGGCGGGAAGAAGGCGAACTTCGCCGCCATCGACGACGTTACCGCTCCCATGGTGTAGTTATAGCCTTATAGGGTTTTGAATTTTTGCTTGAGTTTTTAGAAATGGAATGTTATGATTTGATTTTTGAGAGAGAGAGAGAAAGAGAGAGGAGAGAGAAAGAAGTGTGTGAGAGAGATATGTGGCGAGAAAATAGGAAAAGTGCACGTGCGAGATGTGCGTGTGAAGTGATGCAATGGAAGTGTGTGGACCCACTGTCTTATTCTGTAATATAATATATTTTGTTAATTAAGTTTAATTGATACTTATATAGAAACGTTAATTTAATTATTTTGATAGCTAAACTAGCTAAACAAAAACATATGATCCATAATCGCAGATTAAATTTATAATATTATACTTATTCGTGAATTACAGTTACTACTAGATTACGTGGCCCAAAAATAATAATGATATGATATTGTAAAAATTGTTTTGTCGCGGTAGTTTTTGATTGTGCAGAAAAACGTTGGTGTGATATGATGGCGATGTTATTGAAGGGATGGGGATGGGGTTGTTGTAGGATGGTGACACGTGTGATTTTCAGGGTTGGGTTAGTTACGTGGTTTTCGGAGTTTGTTTTTTGTCGTTATTGTTTTTTCTTTTTGGTTTTTGTGTTACTCATTTGATTATAGAGTGCCAGCTTTGGGCATGATACCTTTGCTTTTGGTTGCTAACTTGCTTTGAAAAGGAAAAGATAAAAGGAATTGTTGACTGTATAGATACTAGTGATTATAGTGCATAGAAAAAAAGTTATGTCATTTCAATGTTTACCTATAATTATATTTAAACTTAGAAAATTAATGGGTAAATTATATGTGGAAGATATAAGTCAAATAATATATGAAAGATATATGTGAAATAATTTCAACTATCTAATTTGTTCTATAACATACCTAATTTTGAACTATTCTAACAAAAGTGGCATAATAATACTTAAAAGTGATTTTGTAATTGATATAACAAACGAGAGTTAGTTATTTGTGTATGAGATCTCTAAGCTAACTTTAAAAAGAGGTGTATATAGTCTTTAAGGTGTATTAAAGTTTTTTTCTTGGATTTCGTCAAATTGACCATGCTTTATTAAGAATCTTGGAAGGTGACCTCATTTAGTGGAAGTCTTGTGTTGTGAGGTGTCTATCTTGTTCACGTCATGAACACATGATCAATTGGTTGTATCTCATTTAAGATCTTTCATGTGTCTCACATTACTGCATCACATTAGGTCGAGATCATTTGCAATGTGTGGACTCTAAGTTATGGGATTTATGACGGTTCACAACTCCGAACATAATATTTGTAAGGATGAATATTTTTCGTAACTGGCAAAAATATGAAGTCGCCGTCATTATTTATTTGTTCTAAGGACGAGAAAAGAATGTAAAAAACCCTAAATATTGAGATTAATGGGTTCGCGGGTTGGTTAAGTAAGGAGAAGGTGTTAGAAACCCCTCACCTCTGTTGTACTCAACGAGATCCTTCTTAGTCTTAGGGTTATGGGACGAAGATTTCTTGTTTACCTATTTATCTTTCCTAAATTTATTTATTTTATTTCTTTCTAATATATAAAAAATGGACTTGTGAGACTAGGGTTAATGGTTAATGGACTTGTTAAGGCATTGCGCCTTATGCCTACGTATTCAATAAAAGACGAAATCAGAGACCTACATAGTTCGAAGGATTTAGTTAGTGTTTTTAATAAAATTGTGTTAACTCTCCTTCGAACAATAGACTTGAGTCTGGACTTTGAATTAAGGGGATGGTAGGCTAGTCTTTAATTTGCATTTTAAGGGATTGGACAATTTTTATTGAAAATGATCTTGATTTTATTATGTTAGTAAGAAAAATGATTGTTTGTGATATTGGTTAGCTTGTTTAACCTAATTCTAAGAAAGGGGTGGAAAAAACAGAAAATAAACCTAAAATTGTAATTAATAAAAAAAAGCTAAGTATTAGTGAAAATTTGTGTTTTAGTCAATAATAAAAAAGTTTTAATTTTAATAAAAGTATTATAGAAAAAAAATTTCGTTTTAACCTACCATATCTAATGAATTAATTTTGAAAATAATTATAAACTAACCTAATCTTAGTTTAGAAGTATAGAGAAAATTAGTTAATTTGCTTTAATTAATCCTAAATTAGTATTTATAAAAAATTAAGTTATAAAATAACTAAAATAATCCTAAATTATATAAGAGGTATTTTACTAATTTATTTAATAAAACGAAAATTATAAAAGTGAGAAAACTAAAATAAAAATAAAAATAAATAGTAAAGGCGCAGGGGTGCAAAATTAGTTGGGCTAGCAATTTTCGAGGGTGAGAAAAGCATTGGGTCAAGCCCAATAAGGTGTTGAGGCCTATTGGACAACGTAGGGGGCATCTAGGGAGGGTTTCAATTGGATACTAGTTTCCAGACTGTTGTACCTCGAAATTTGCCCTCTCATTTTCTTTCAAGATTTTCTTTTACATAGGTGGTTGCAAACTTTGGCTTGAGGAAAGTAAAATTTGAAGATGAACGAAATGTCCTTCGATTGGAACATCAGAGTTTCTTTCGATTGGAACATCAGAGCTTCCTTCGATTGGAACATCGGGGTATCCTTCGACTGGAACATCAGAGCTTCCTTCGATTGAAGCATCAAAGCTTCCTTCGATTGGAGCATCAGAGCTTCCTTCGATTGGGACATCAGAGCTTCCTGCGATTGGAACATTAGAGCTTCCTTCGATTGGAGCATCAGAGCTTCCTTTGATTGGAGCATTAGAGCTTCCTTCGATTGAAACATTAGAGTTTCCTTCGATTGGAACATCAGAGCTTCCTTCGATTGAAACATCAGAGCTTCCATCGATTGAAACATCAGAACTTCCTTCGATTGGAACATCAGAGCTTCCTTCGATTGAAACATCAGAGTTTCCTTCGATTGGAACATCAGAGTGTCCTTCGATTGGAACATCAGAATGAAGTGTCCTTCGATTGGCATATCAGGGCAAAGTATCCTTCAATGGCATATCAATGCAGAGGTGTCTTAATCTAAAATGTTCTGGTGAGGGAAGTTCTGAACACTTCGAATCAGAACTCAGAACCATCACAGGAACAAGGATTGATCAAATGGGCTTTGAAGAGAGAAACTTTGAATATTTTCAAATTCAAACAAGTTGCCAAATTGACCTGTCCAGGTTCACTCAGAATTCCAAAATGGCATGAAATGTCTCAAAATGGCAATCTTTTAATTTATCTGATTCTGTTTTCAATGCCATGTTTAAAGGTTGGTCTTTAATGTCGTGATTCTTTCCCCATTTCCTTGTCTCCCCTACCTCCCATAAATATAAGACACAAACACAAATCAAGGGGGACTCACATGCATGTATACTATATCATAGGATCATACATTTCACACGAAGAGATTATACATACACGCTGCCTCAGAAAGCACATCAAAAATCTCAAAACACCAAATTCAAAAACGTCCCAATCGAAACACCTTTTGCAGGTCACCTCTCCAGAAGTCCACACCAACTCCTAAGCAAACATTTCCGCGCTCAGAGCCACAAATCACACACCTTTGATTGGTAAGGGTTTACAGAACCAAAATTGCACCTTCATACCATTTAGATATACATTGCACGTACACTCTTGTTATTTCCAATATTTGTGTTGCTTGCAAGCTAAAACGCATGTATGAGGTCGTGCCATCGCTAGGGCGTGATCTGAGTTTTCCTTTGAATCTCACCTGGGATGTTCCAGGCCAAACAAACCCAGATTCGAATTGGAGAGAGATTCGAATTGGGGAGGGATTCGAATCAGGGGGTAAAGTCCCCCCTGGATTTCTAATGTTTGTTTATGTTGCAAGAAACCGTCTCTCAGGTTTTCCCCAACAGAATATTGTAGGGCTTCTAAACAGCCAAGCTTCGAACTAGGTGGCAGGGACCTTTTGCCAATAACCTTCGATTCAGACTCTGGTGATTCGATTCAGGGTGACACATCCAGGCTATTGAATCTAGGACCAGATTCGATTCAAGTCCAGGATTTTGTTTTGTTTTCTTTTTCTAACGAATTCCTTGCAAATCCAGTATCCCAGATTGAAGGATGACACATCCAGATCGAACACCCCCAGACGTGCAGTCTCTCAGGCACCTTTGGTCAAGACTCTTCATTGGATCGAAAGGCAACCCAAGCCTTTTCGATCCAGGCCTTCTTTCCAAGAATGCACTCTTTTCATTTACTGTTTTTGTCTTTCATTTTTGTCCTTTCTTTTGATTATTTTTCTTTATTTCTTCTAAGCTTTAATTAGCATTAAAAAAATCACAAAAAATAGACTTAGGTCCTTTCTTAATTAAAATTATTTTTTTGCAAATTAATTTAATTTAATTATTTTGATTGATTTCATTAATTAAAATTAATTAGAAATTAAGTTAAAGTTTTAAATCTTTTTCTCAATAAAATACCAAAAAAATGTTTTATTAAATAATTAGATTTTTAGGACTTTTCAACTTGTTCCCGTCTTGATCTTCACGCGTTTATTTTTTTTCATTTTTATTTTTATTGTTATTTTTCCAATTATGTAACTGTTTCCCGGTTTGTAATAGCTTTAATTAGGTTTAAAATTCCGCATTTTATTTTCTTGTACTCTTCATGTAATTGCCCCAAGGCCTCTTAATAGTTTAGGAATTTTATTTTATGCACTATTAACTGCTAGTAATTAGGTTTGCATGGAAAGACTATAAATGAAAATGATTAGATAACCCTAATGTGCAAGATAAATGAAATGAATCAATACACTTGCACATGCTCACCCCTAGGGTATCTCCCACTTTGATTGCCTTCGAAAACGGTCACAATTCTCAAAATGTGAGAATTTTTAGTGGTTGTCCTTTAGTTCAAGAGATCACAAGTCCTCGATGACCCTTCTGATGTCGCCTCGGTTAAAAAGTGATCTTAGAACTTTAGGACAATTACTAAAAGTTCTTGCCCAGTTGCCTTAGTGACCGTAAACGTCCCCTCGATAGTCCCTCGACAT